ATATATATATATATATATATATATATATGTATATATATATATGTATATATATATATGTATATATATATATATATATATATGTTGTTTAAATATAAAGATAATAATATCCTGATCGATCTATACTAAGTCTCATTTATAGTTGCCTTTCCGAACCCATTACCCACAGTTTTGTGAAACTTTATCTATAAATTTTGTCCACGTTTAGATTCGGTCCTGGTATGGTAATTTATTGGTTTGGTTTTATTGATGAACTTGACTGTAATCGTGATAAGGGAATTATTCTTGCCGATCAGTTTCCTTCCAATTTGATTACATTAACAAGTCTCGTTTGGAAAGACGACTGACAAACATCGACATACAGTAGTTTCTGTGTATACACTAGGTATGTGGTGATTCGTTAAAACTATGATTAAAAGCACTTGATTCGTTAATAGAGAGGTTCAGATTTGACTTCCACCCGCTACCTCTTGCAAGTTAATGGTGACGGTAGCGAAAGTCTGTTATATGTGCTGTATTAAACTTCAGAATGATAAGATACAACTATCTGAAAAATAGAAGGAGAACTTCGACGTTTTGAGCGAAGGCCCTTCCTCGGGAAGTTGATAGTTTGCTCGAAACGTCGAAGTTATCCGTGTATATATTTCAGGTAGTACGTAGTTGCATCCGCCTACCAATCCTTTCTTGTCTGACACCTGCTGATCTGCTGTTGAAAATTTTGTATTAGAAGACCCTGCATGCTTGTAAATAATTTACGATAAAAAATTTTGTGGATTGTTAATTCATTCAGTATTACAATATTGTAGTAATGGTAGTACTTTCAACCAGTACTTAACATATTTTTAACATTGTACTTTAAAAAAAGTCGTTCTCGTTTAAGTCGGTAAACACTTAAAGTCGGAAGTTTTGAAAGCAATAGGCCAGTGGTAAAGGACAAAATGATAGCTTTGCTCCCGGGTACGAAGTTAAAGTGAAACAGGAAGCATAAACATGCAGAAAGTCGCTGATCGTGCCCAATCTCCTTTTTCTACGTAAAAGACGCTTATTTGTTCTTGGAAGGTTTCGATTTGTTCATCCAATCAACGTTACAGAAGTGGAGGCTGGTGATTGGCTGATGAGATTGAAAAAGCTAACAGATGCTACCGACGCTTATTAAAACTGTTATACCTGCTTTACAAAAAAAGCTATATCATTTTGAATTCCCGCAGCATCATGGCTACATATTACGATTTATTACGAGATGAGAACGATTCGTTTTATGTTCAATTCGACACTCCAACTCCTAGGCCTCACTTCATCATATTACCTAAAAAGCAGGCAGGTATTGAGCGTGATTTTAGCCAGATGACACCGGAGCAAAGAAAGAAGCTTATGGAAGCGGTTCAGTCTATGATGTCAAGTTTTAAAGTGCCTAGTGGTATTTTGTCCATTCACCGAGGATCGTGGTTGTCCAGGAATACGAAAGGATTTCTTGCCCATATTTGCGTAGATGTCGAGCTATATTTGCACGTTTTTGAGCAACAAAAGAGTATCATTCCTACGTGGCCAAATAAGACGTATGTAACAGGCGAATGGAAGGTGAATGATGACCCAAAGTCATACCCCCAAAATGTCCGTGGCTATATATATCGTCATAGCAGGTACCTTGATGAAGAAGTGGCCGCCATCTGGAAACTAATGTTTGTTCCGAGGCCGATTTTTCGCGAGCTTGACGAACCGGACATATCAGTGATTCAACACCCAAGCCATCCCAAAATCGGGTTAGTTGGGAAGAAAATCCCTTTAGAAGAATTGGTTTGGACGATCGAGAATTTTGCCCAAAAGCTCGGTTTAACTAACAGGAGATCGAACGATGGCTGTAATGTGTGTTTGCATTTGGGTTTGGGTAAGTTTATACATACAGGAACAGCATACTTCATTCGATACCCGCACCAATTCTGTACCATTAAATATTATTGTGTTCGATATAAAATGACGAGTTTGAATGCTTTGATTTATGTGTTTGAAATGATTTTGTTTTCTTTGGTAGTTTCAACTGAAGATTGGAAGCACGACTGTGAGACGGGAAAGGAAATTTTTGGATACATTGTGACTTGTGGGCCTCGCTTCTACCGACTGTGTCCTTTGGGAGTTCGAAAGAAATGGTTTGCTGCTTTCAGACAGTCCAAGTTTGCTTGTTTGACTTAAAAACATTTTAAGTATAAAAATAACCGGTTGACATGCAGGTATTGAGAATCATTGTTGAATTCGCTTTGGTTAAATTTCGTATGCCATTCCCGCATGCATGTTCCAACTCTCATCCTCGTTTGTATACTTTATAAGTTCTTTGTATTTTAGAATTGAATGAAAAAGTTTCCTCAATAAAGATTACTATTACAGTCTAGAAATATTTTCAAAACATTTACCCTTAGCTCATGTAACGATAGCTTTAAAGTAGAATGTAAATCTATATAACTGGTGGTAAAATAAAGCGTATATGTTCATATTTCGCCTCTTGCAACGTCAATTCTAAGAAAAAAGTTGTAAGAGGCATTTACTTAGTTAGTGCTTAAACTAAACGTGATTGGCTAATTTGTGGTCACGTGGGTTTTGAGAAATGCAATGAATTCCACCGGGCAACAAGTGAAATGCTCAAAATGAAGTCAAAAGTTTAAAGTTAACGTTTTTCCAATTTACGAAAAGAAACACTGCTGCTGAAACACTTTCTAGCAGGTTATATAACTAGGTAATCTAGAGCAGAGATTTAGTGTATTTAACTCTCATTGACTGGGACTTTCGGGAAACAGTATATTTGGTAAATGTTTTATTATATATACCAAGTAATACTATTGTTTGTGAAAACACCACGTAAATGTATTACTGCAAAGCTTATACAAAGAACTTATATACCAAGTGTCAAAAAGAAATGGGCGGAAATTTCAATAATTTTTGCTTTATGACTCTACGATTTTATTATTCACTAGTAAATAAAGGTAATGTCCACCGCTTGGAGCCGTAGCCCTTTCACACTCTCGTCCAATGAGATGCAAAAAAAACCCATGAACTTCAGCGCTGCAAATAATTACATAAAGGTAAATTAAATTACGCCTGTCAAGTACAAAGTCTTCCTGGTCAAACATTAACATTCAGTTCTTGTAATTTAATTACTTTTGGAGCTGAGCATTCGGGTTCCATCTTGGGTGTATTTCAATATAGCTGTTATAAACATTCAAACATGGATAACCTTTCTGGAAGTATTATTCCTTGGTGCCGTCCAGTGAAATGTGATCACATTTTTTGATAGTTTCTTGTGCGTAGTATTCTCTTCAATTCTTTGAAGTTTCCTCCTTTTTGGAGTGCCTCGACAGACATGCATGGTACACGTCAGTAACACCACACACGTCAGACTGAGCGATACAGCCACTTGAATGATGGTAGATTGAGGATACTTCCTGATATAAAGAACTGTTAGGGTTGAATGATGTGAACTATGGGCACAGGGGGCAGAAAAGTACGATTGTGTTTTATAAATACCTTGTCATCAACGAATATCCCATATTTATATCACAACAATCCGCAGACATAGTCATAAAAGGATCAAAATTAGCTGATTTTTATTTTTTCGATAATATCATGCCTTCTACTTCATGTAATTCAAACATATTGCATTGCAGCGACTATTTCCGAACATCTTACGAAAGGATGCCGAGGGTGTAACCCGTACATAAATAAGAAAGGGATGAAACGCCGAAAATCTTTCGTTCAATGTGCACCGCAACAACTGGTGACGGAAGTAAATTCGACATTGTAACCGGAAGTAGAACGGAAGTTGAAGGAAAATTGACCTATCATCTTCCATGACCTTTTAATCGAATTAACGGTTAATAATTTGAATGACAATATTATAACGAATTTTAAAAAATATTGCGAAATTCAAACTCAAATTAGTCAAATATTAATATGGAACGTTTTGTCAACTAAAAGAAATGCGAATCAATCGATTCAAAAGCAACGCACGCTCTTGTATCTAGATGGTATAAAGCTTTTCAATAATTTTAAAACAATTGTTCTTGAATCGATCAACCGTACGTGAATATATCCACAACTTTGAACTTTGTTTAATAATATGACTGTATAAATCCAAACGGCAGTCTTTACAAAACCGGTCACGATTTAAACTCGTCTTCGCCCTGTGTGCAGACTTAAGATATATCAATAGACTATTTAAATTCAAAAACAAACTATACATGCATTTATGGGGCGAAAAAAATGGCAGTAAATTTAAATAAACTCTGAAACGGTTTCGTTAATTCGGTTAATATAGACCTTTTTGTAGTATAAATACCGGTGCATTTTGGCTTGTATTTCGTAGGCTTTGTATGAATTATCAAATAAGTGACAATTCTTTCAATAAGAGACAATTCAATTCAAGGAGAATTCAATTCAGCGACAATTCAATGAGTGACAATTTATATGAGCATATTTATATGAGCGTTATTTTGAAACTGTATACTAATCATAAAAATACTGTATGAGCTTGTCATATATTTAATATATATGACTAATAATATAAATCAGTTGGAAAAATAGTTTTCGTCATGCGCAATATCTTTTAAGTGCGTAACTACGTCACTTCCGTCACCACCTGTTGCGGTGCACGTTGAAACAAAATAAGCCAAAATTGTAGTCCCAAAAATTTCGGTTTAATAACCGTTTCTTAAAATTTCCTTGTACAGGTATGCTAAGTGTATCATATCTAAACTGTATACAAAAAATAAAAGGTTTTGGTTCAGAAACACGCCAGTTATATCCATTCTATGGCGTCATATCACCGCCAATATTCATGTATATCATGCTTTCGACATTGAAGTTAAATAGGACATTCAGCACCTACGTGCTTTCGACATTGAAGGTAAATCTGGCATTGAACATGCGGAACATTCAACATATTTTCGACATTGAAGTTAAATAGGACATTCAACACCTGCGTGCTTTCGACATTGAAGTTAAATCTGACATTGAACACCTATGTGTTTTTGACATTGAAGTTAAACCGGACATCGAACATGCCGCGAATTTAGCACCCATCACAACTTCAACGTTCAAAATATGTTGAAAAAAATTACCACATGTTGAATATTGGCGGAGTTGAACGATAGCGTAAAATCTCCGCCAATATTAATTAAGCTAACACAAGACAACCCCCCGGCCAAATTCATTCGTGTCCAGACCTCTAGAACATATCACATGATGCAAGCCGAGGGTCGGATTCGCCGCATCTTGTCGCTGTATTGGAGGCTATGATTGGAGGCCGTATATTCACCATAATATTCGCGTATATTCGCTTGTTTGTCTTAAATTAATTGACTTTTATTGTGCAGATTGAATTGCTAGAGACGCAAAAAACGCAAAATCTCGTAGAATGAACCCAGAGGCAATAATTTCCGCAAGAGATGCTCTGTTTGAAGTTGCTGAGCGATTGAGACAACAGTCACAGCTGTATTTTATTTATTAGATTATATTTTAAAAATTCCTAATAATCGAATTATAAATAATCGATACATTTTAATATTTAGAGTGTACTTGGCAAAAGCAATGCGTGCGTCATTGCGTCAACGTGAACTTTTGCTGCGACAGAAAGGCAGATAGATGGTTTTCTTTATATATTAAATCGTTGTGGTGTAATTTGATAGTACTTGTCAATTTAGCATAATTTTGAGCACTTTTCTTTCCGGATCCGTGAGCCTTTTATAATTTTATTTGTCATTTACTTAGTACAACGGTTTACAAAAAATCCTACTGTTTACAAACTTTTGTGTTACATACTGAATAGGTGTCTTCTTATTAATTCAATAACTGTTACACAATAAAGATTTTTGCTGTCAATTGCACTTGCTAGAATTAGCATTTTGATAATAGTACATCCTTTTAATTTTTAAACCAAGAGAATAGTTTCGTGAAAAAATTTATTTATCTTATACCATAAACTTCCGAGTATAAGTCCCCGAATATAAGCCCGACGTCTATGACCCCGTCACATTACTAACGTTCACGCCATTCGATATACTAGCCCATAATCATAATCATAATCAGAAGTTTATGGTATAATTATAAGATAAATAAATTTTCTCACGAAACTATTATGTGCTATTATTAAAATGCTAACTCAGCTAGTCACAGTGACAGCAAAAATCTTTATTGTGTAACGGTTATTGAATTAGTAAGAAGACACCTATTAAGTGTGTAACACAAAAGTTTTGTAAACAGGTAGGATTTTTTTGAATTGTTGTATAAGTAAATGACAAATAAAATTATTAAAGGCTGACGGATCTGGAAAGAACAGTGTGCAAAATTATGCTAAATTGACAAGTACTATCAAATTACACTACATGGCCTCACGATTTAATATATAAAGAAAACCATCTGCCTTTCTGCGGCAGCAAACGTTCAGTTTGACGCACGCATTGTTTTTGCAATTACACTCTAAATATTAAAATGTATCGATTATTTATAATGCGATTATTAGGAATTTTTAAAATATAATTTTTGCGTCTCTACCAATTCAGTCTGCGCTATAATCAATTAATTTAAGATAAACAAGCGAATATACGCGAATATTATGGTGAATATACCGATATACGGCCTCCAATACAGCGACAAGATGCGGCGAATCCGACCCTCGGCTTGCGTCATGTGATATGTTCTAGAGGTCTGGACACGAATGAATTTGGCCGGGGGGTTATCTTGTGTTAGCTTAATTAATATTGGCGGAGATTTGACGCTATCGTTCAACTCCGCCAATATTCAACATGTGGTAATTTTTTTTCAACATATTTTGAACGTTGAAGTTGTGATGGGTGCTAAATTCGCGGCATGTTCGATGTCCGGTTTAACTTCAATGTCAAAAACACATGGGTGTTCAATGTCAGATTTAACTTCAATGT